TCCATAGCAGCGAGCTGGCATTGTAAATTAAGAAAATTTTGTGAGTCTCATCTACGTTCTTGTAATGTGAAAAGAAGATGCTTCAATTTCAAGTTTGACTGGCTAAATTTTAAATTTGACTGGATTTTAAGTTTGCCCAAAAATTTTCTTCTGGTCAAAACTAAAATTTTAAGTCTGCCCGGTCAAAATTGAAATTTCAGTTCTGCCCGGGCAAATTTTAAATTTGACCGAATTTCAAGTTTGACCACAACATATATGTACATGAGTCCGCCGTTCTTTTCTCTTTGTTTTCATTTATATATATACACGCGTTTATTCATTTTGTATACACAGTTATCTTACTCTATTTCATAATAAAGAGATATATCTATCGAGATCAGTTCAAGTGAATATTTAGTTAAGTCAGCTAGTTGTTGTTTTATACACCAACATTTGGTGCCCTGACCGGTTCGAATTATACCTGTTAATATTTGTACAGTATTCTTAATATTTAAAGTTGGTAGACCGTCCTTTTAAGGATAGGTTACGAGACTTATTAAGTGATTGAACATTCTTTACAGAATTGTTTTCGCCATTAAGGGTAAGTTCAGTTTTCTTGCTCCCTTTACGCTCGCCACTATTCCGTGTTCCGCAAAGAAAATTAATTTAAATCATAAATCATAAATTTTTTTCATTATAAATTTTTTTTTTAAAATTAAAATCAGTATTTTCAAAGCCAACCATACCGCCAACGATGTACAATTACAAGTTGTGCGCGCCAAGCTGACGGATTCTGCCGCTGATTGGTTTGACGATTCCGAAAGTCAATTCACTTCATGGCAGGAGTTTGAATAGCTATTCAAACGTCGATATTTATCGGTTGTTTCAACTCAAACGAAATTCGATAGATTGGTAAAACGTGTGCAGCAGCCGAATGAACCTATCGTCAGTTATTATGATGACGTGCGATTGTGTCGTGAAGTCGATGCGAACATGATATCTATGTCAATTGTACAATATCTAATCAATGGGGTGTGACTGGATGTAAGGGAACAACTTTTACAACCGGACTCGCCAACCGATACACCTGAAAAGTTTTTTAAAATTGCAAAAAAGGAAGAAGATCTCAAACAGATATCACAGCCTGTCGATCAACCGGTTTCTCATTCATATTTTTCATTCAATGATCAGCCAGTAATATCAGCAGTAAATCCGTCGCTGTTACACAAACGTTTGAGTATTCCACCCATACAATCGGCTCACGCACCACGAATACAATCAAATCAGGCGCGACATTTCGGAGCCACTACCAACCGACAACCTCAACAATACCCAAGTAATCAATATTGCGCTTCGCAGAATACAACCCCATTTCGCCCATATAAAATATGTCCAAGAACAAATCATCGTACGATTGATTGCTTCAATAAAAAGCCGCAAGGATGTTTTAAATGTGGACAATCAAATCATCAAGTCCGTGATTGTCCTCAGTCTTTTTTCCTCGTTAAGTATGTCTTTCGGCAAACATAGCATTTATTTTCGTTTTGAGCGTACTTTGAGTGAGTTGAGGAACATGATCGGCGCAACGAACCACGGGCGATTTTCGGCTGTCGTAATCGATCCGCGGAGTCCCGGACGATATTCTCAGATAGAGATAAGGTAAGACAAATATTTGCCAGTGATATCACGCCTAATTTTGTATTCTTTGCGAGTGTGTGTTGCCGATCGTTCGTGTTCATAATCCCATCTGAAACATTGACGAGCGCACTGGGTAGCAAAAGAGCCTTATGTTTAGCATTTCCTAACGGTTCAAATATCGCACCAGTAGCATTATTTAGTTGGACTTTAACTGCAACAAGTTGTTCGGAACGTGGTGGGATTGTAACCTCGTTGACTAGTAACACGGCATAATGGGAGTCAGGGGATGAAATGAATGGTGTGGATCTGATGGATTGTTTATTCTTACAGACATGTCGAGAGTGGTACGGTTTGCCGTTATGTATGACTTGGCTTTATAGCGAAAGCTTTTATGGTGTAATTTTCTCAGGAGATCTTGATGTATGATTGTGATGACGGAGCCTGTATCGACGATGGCTGGTTGTGATTTTTATTATTTACTTGAACTTTGATGTAAAGAGGATTCCTCGATATAGATCTCGTTGATGGCATTTTGTCACTGGGTACACCGCCATCATGCGACCCAGTTACCCGAAAAAAGACTGAGGACAATCACGGACTTGATGATTTGATTGTCCACATTTAAAACATCCTTGCGGCTTTTTATTGAAGCAATCAATCGTACGATGATTTGTTCTTGGACATATTTTATATGGGCGAAATGGGGTTGTATTCTGCGAAGCGCAATATTGATTACTTGGGTATTGTTGAGGTTGTCGGTTGGTAGTGGCTCCGAAATGTCGCGCCTGATTTGATTGTATTCGTGGTGCGTGAGCCGATTGTATGGGTGGAATACTCAAACGTTTGTGTAACAGCGACGGATTTACTGCTGATATTAGTCCAGTTGGTGATATGATATTAATTATTAGTGGAAATTGTTAAGCAAAAGTTTTGGATCGAGAAGGTAACAAGATACTTGATATTTCACCTAATAATCAGAAAATATTTATTGTTTTTTATTATAGGTAAACAAATCTATGAATGTGTTCGTGGTGACATGTATATTGTTGATCAAGCTCGAACAAAAGGACACGTGGCCATGTTAAATAGTGGATGTTGGAATCCGAAAGATTTGAGTGAATTTATGACATGTTCAAATGATGGTACAATTCGTTTGTGGTCCGCCTATAAACGTCAACAACAAACATGTGTAATAAAAACAAAATCTGAACAAGGAAAAAAAGTAAGCACAACCACATGTACATATCATAACAATCATCATAGTGGAACATCGAATAACACAGATTTAATAACGGCGGGATGTGATGATGGTAGTATTCAAATATGGGATCGACGACGACCATTTGTCAACGTTACATTTCTCTGTCGTCATGCACGTGAGTCAAACGAACTAGTCACTTCAATAAAATGATCCTACGATGGTATTAATACTGCATCGCGTTCGACTGATGATACAATAAAAATATGGGATATTCGAAATTTTAAAAAATGTTTATCAGTACGTGATAATTTACACAATCGATTTCCAATGACGGATATTGCATTTTCACCAGACGATAGATATTTAACCACAGGTACATGAATAAAACATTTTTTTTTCTCAACGAACTTGATTATAATTGTTATCGTTTGTTCATTTCTTAGGTACATCAACTCGAAAGAAAACAAACAATAACGAAAGTGATGAAACAAATGTGGGAAAATTATATTTTTTCAATCGTCAAAATCTAGAAGAAGATGTCTGTCATTTACAAGTGAGTGATAGTGCGAGTGTTATTCGTACACTATGGAGTCCAAAACTGAATCAAATATTTTGTACAACAAGTAATGGTATAATTGAAATCTATTATGATCCCGTTCGCTCCCGTAACGGAGCATTGTCATTCGCAAATCGTGAACCACGACAGAAAAAAGCGAACAACTTCTTTATTAATGTCAATATTATTAATCCTCATGCTTTACCACTTTATTGACAAGATCGTGTTCGAAATTTATCAGTGATTAGAATGAAGCAACGTGAAGATCCGGTCAAATCGAAACGTCCCGATTTACCAATGAGTGGCGTGGGGCAAGGTGGACGATTAGGTGCACATAGTTCAACGTTAAGTGGTTATATTGTTAAAAATATTGCTCTTCAAAAATTACCTGATCAAAAAGAAGATCCAAGAGCAGCATTATTGAAATATGCTGAAATATCGGAAACAGATCCATATTGGGTGGCACCCGCTTATAAACAAATATAACTAATACCCATATTTCAAAGTACACCACAAACAAAAAATGAGGGAAGTGAAAATGAGGAGGAAGACGAGATGGATTTGGTGGAAAACGCAGAAATGGAAAACATCGAATATGAAAACGTCGAAAAAAAAACAGGAAAATGCCGAAGAGGAAAATGTCGAACTGGAAAATAGCGAAATTCAGGTTGGCGAATTGGGAAAATAGAAAAAAGCAAAGAGTAGAAAGGAAAATGTCGAAATAATATTAGCTAGAAATTTCTTTTATGGAAGTGTCGAAATAATATTAGAATAGAAAATTTTTTATTCCGATCATATGAAAAGAACGATATAAAAAAATGAAACTGTTGTAATACTATTAGCTAGAAAAAATTTTTCTTCATCGTAAATCTTTGTAATTGACGTTGTTTCGGTCAAGATGCGTTCTTTCATTTTCTCCTTGAGTGATTTGGTTTCCAGAACATCGGGATAAGCAACATGCTTGTGGTCGCTGGTAATTGATAAAAATTCATTTTCCAAATTTGTGTGCACGTACACGCCACAATCAGGTTCCGTACAGAGCCAATATTTTTTCGATGGCGATGTTTTGTTACATTTGAAAGTATATTGATTGTACACCAGCAACGGTTTACCTTTATTCGTCTTCAACCAAGAAAGAATACACTGCATTGGTTACGAGCGAGGACTAAATGATGTGTTTACTGTTATCGTGATACTGATTTATATATGTTATGTTAACAATGACTTACTTTAGACTGGTTTATATATTTTATGTTAACAATGACTTATTATAGACTATAGACGACGAAGAGGACGAATTTAAATCATTCTCATAAGAGCGAATAGCAGTTAAAAAAGTAGAATTACGTAATCTGCAGATGTCTTCTCCATTCTACGTTCTTCTTTTCGCGATTTTTCTTTCTGCTTTTTCCTCTCATATATTTTCTTTCGATATTAAACTTTTATCTACATTTTCCTTTCTACGTTTACCTTTTCGCTGTTGTTGTTTTCTACATTTTCCTTTTCGAAATTTTTTCTACGTTCCTTTCTACGTTTTCCTATTCGACATTTTTCTTTTCTGTCTTTTCCGTCAATCCCGACGACGAGATATTACCACCGTGGAAAAAACAAAAAACTTGACTATTATTTGAACATAAACAACAAGTTGAAAATATTAAATTGTCTGAAATTTTAATAGACTATTGATTTGGTAATAATACTAAACAAGCGTGATTTTTGTGTATCCTAGAACGATTGCTATATCTGACGCATTGTTTTTCATCGTGAACTACCTTTAATAGCCAGATTACTTAATAACGTACATTCACATAGTCGAGAGAATCGTTTAGAATCCACAATAGTTTGAAACATTTTGAGAGAGATTCATGATGAATATTAATTACGCTAACGTGAGCGAATCAAAAGATTATGGAAAAGAGTAAATAACATACAACTATCGATAATAACGTACTTATTGCTAAAATTTGTTGAAAATTCATATTACATATGACATCAGATAACAATGAAAATATAGCTTCTTAAGTTGACTTTATTGAAGATTAGAACATGCTACTGTGTGTACCATTTTCAACTTCAGTAATTATTTGTCTCTATGTTCGTTTCTTATGTTATTATTATTATTTTTGTTATTCTGTATAGTATCTTTCTTCGTTTTCTCTTTTTTATTTTTGTAAAAAAATTTATTTTCAATACATTAATAAATGTCATGTCGTGGTTTGTTGCATTTCCTTTTATTATAATGTTATTCTGAATTGAAAATGTGTGCAGGTTAGAATAGAGAGAAATGAAACAAATCATTTTATTGATCATTTGTATCAGATGGTGAATTGTAGCGGCTTTATTCATTCAACAAATTTTCCATCATTTTAAATTAGTTTCTTAACTTAAAAAAAATCTGTTCTACGATATGCTTCACTAAAGAAAGTTTTGTCTTTATTAATTCGTTAGTCAATTTGATTCGCGAAGAAAGTTTATAGACTAGTATATGAACGATATTCTTTAAGTTCAATAAAACAAAGAGCCAAATAGTCTTGCACTGTTTGTATTTACTGTTAAACCTTAAATTCCTTTTCTTTTGTATTTTTTTATACTGTCATTAGAATATTTACACTGTAATCTAAAAAAAAGAAAGAAAGTTCAAGTACCTATTATTGTTATACCTAAAGATAACACATTCCGCCTTCAAGTTTTAAATCACAGGCAACATTAATTTGTTTCACAAATATTTTTTAATATGTAATCGAGACATTTGATTGATAATAAAGTGTGTGTGTATTACATTGCTCATTTGAATGAATGGACAGAATATTAAGTGTTAATTTACTGTTAATAATCAAACGAACAAAGCTGTCGCCCATAATTGCGTTATTTCACTATTGAAATGTAGCTTTTACATCAGAAACAGTTTGAAAATGAAAATGAGGAATAGTACCATGAACAAACCTAGTATTTATAAACTATATATAAACAATTTCAGATAAGCATGACGTTTACATTCAATTATTTACAAACTGATTTTATGTTAAAATATCTCAACATCAGCACCATTGGAGGTATTTTATATATCTATTTAATGTTTTAGTTATTTAAATAGATTTGTCATCGTAATTATTGTTTCAGATTGTCTCGGTGCTATTTTTTCATGTGTCGCATTTGCCTTACTTCTCGAATTGAGTAAAGCGATTCAACTCTATTTACGTCATTACCCAAAAACTTCACAGCATCAACAAGAAATTGTATTAACAACTGTTTTACCATCGACTATCTATCGAAAAAGGTTAGTCTGTTGTTTCTTTTAAAGTCAACTATTAATATTGACATTGATTAAAAATTATTATCCTGCGAATGTAAACATTGTTGAACTTTTATTCATTATTTTTAACATATTTTATTTAGAATAATTCTTCATGTAATTCAATCTATCGTTCATCTTCTTCAAGTAGCGCTAAGTTATGTTCTTATGCTGATGGTAATGAATGATTTTGCTGGTTTTTTAATCTCTGCTTCTATAGGTAAGTTTACCATTTCCATTATTTTAATCATTTTTTTGTACAATTTTTCGTTTTTTCTCATTAGCACTGTGTAAAGGACCACTACCGTGAACCTCATCGCTCTTCTCCTCTGATCTATTATTCTCCGCGTTCTCTTGTTCTCACTCTCTCTCTCTCTCTCTCTCTCTCTCTCTTCTTCTCTCTCTATCGTAGTGCAATACTTTCTGGTCTGTCTGTTCTGTTCTCTCTCTCTCTCTCTCTTCTTCTCTCTCTATCGTAGTACAACACTTTCTGTTCTGTTCTCTCACTCTCTCATCATCACGAGATATAGATAGATATAGAGTGAGAGATATATATAGTTAGTAGAGTAGAGTAGTGAATAATTTGGATATATCGGTTCAAATAAAAAGGAATAAAAGTATCGACAAGGTCAAATAAAGGATACAGCTGTGAAGAGGTTAATTAAGGGACAACAAAAAGTATCACACACTGGGTATTGGTTATTATTTAATGAATGGTGTTCATCCTTATACAGTAAAATTCTTAGATAATATTCCATTTATCGATCAATGTCCTTCTAAAACAACGTCTTATTTGAATGTTGGTACTTAAAACCATAGAATCAGTACATTAGCATGTGCTATATATATTACAAAACAAAACAAATGCTCAATATGACAATAGATTACAAATTGTGTTCAATCTGTAGTACAATAAAAAAAAGTTTATTATGCTAGATTTTTGTACTCATTTTCTATAACAGTGTGTAAATACATGTTTTCTTTCATAAAATACTCTATCCTGCTTTTATATTTGTTCATTTTTCTATGCCTTTGATTGTATTTTTTTGTAGAGTATATCTGATTGAAAACAATAATGAATCATGCACTCGATTATCAAAGGAGATGTCATCTCCTTCGAGATACTTCAGAAGTATTTTGTCTGAAAAGACAATTGTTGATTTCTGATTCAAATTGATAACTGCCTAACTTCTTCATCAAAACTTCTTTGATAATTGTGAAAGAAGTAAGAACCTCTTTAATCGACAGGTATCGTCGCTTCTTTGAGGCTCGGCGATCCCGATTAATTTTTTGGCCGAAAGCAGTAAAAAAAAGTATCCTGCGGAAAGTGACCAGCAAGAAAACAACAAAAACTTAAGTTTATATATTGCACTCTGTTTGAGCCAGTGAAGGAATCAAGATTTTTGGACGCTTGGGAAAATCTCTACTCAGTCAAAGGAAACGGGTTGGAAACAGTTCTGTAACACAAATTTGTGAAACTCCTAAAATCCAAAGGATTTTAAGTTTATAAATAAGAATATTTATGAAGTTTTGTCAATTTTTTATTCTGACAAATCTCTAACGTGAAGCAGACTCAGCATTATGATTATCTATTTTAGCACATTATATAATTACGAGAAGTTTGACATTTTAGTCTCGCAGCTATTTCTCTGAAAAGATTCTTCTTAAATTTCATTAAAACAACAAAACGGATGAAAAAGAATGTGTCATGAATTCGTAGAGACTCGTGCACTATCTCAAACGTGGTTTTAATATTTTTCTCCATTATGTTAAATTAAAACATGAATTTTACTGAAGACAAAACATTCACAATATGAATATTCGTGTCAAAGAAAAGCATGTGTTGAATTGTGATTCCATGAACCAAAACTTTGATACTTCTATGCTATAGATTGATCACGTTGTTTCCTTTTAGCTTCAAATAGTAGCTCCAAGGAGAGACGTCTACGTCAGTTCGCATTGATCCTGACTTCTTGGAGCTACTATTTGGAGCTAAAAGGAAACAACGGATTGATCACACCCCTAGGTATAACAGAACAGAAAAGAAAAGTTATTGATTATATATTATGTATAATTGGATAAACTGTGGGAGGAATTGTCAAAGCGAATAATAGATAACTCTAGTAATAGATACTCTAGTTTCAGAAAGCTATAGCAAATCAGATTGACGAATTCCAATTATTAGCATCAATCAAAGGATTATTAAAGAAAAGAAAACATAATTAGGTAACAAATTAAATAAAACAATTAGTTGAGCACCTAAAAACTTATCTAAATAGTGTAATGTTGGAAAACCGAAGCTTAGTTGAAATTTTTTGTAAGTTTTTCTATTTTTTTTCGTTTTTGCTTCTGCTGCTATTTTTTTCAGGCTTTTCTTGTTTTGTATATAGTAATAATTAATTTTTTTTAAATAATCCTTTGATTGATGCTAATAATTGGAATCCGTCAATCTAATCTGCTATAGCTTTCTATAACTAGAGTCATCTATTATTCGCGTTGATAATTCCTCTCACAGTTTATCCAATTATAGATATACATATGACCAATAAATTTTCTTTTCTGTTCTGTTATACCAAGTACCAAATAGAAGTACCAAAACTTTTACCTCGTGTCGTCTTTCTATTCCTCATTCGATGATTGTTTGTTGAAACTAGATTTTGCGGATCGATGTCATATTAGGAATTGATAAAAAATATATGTTCTGTTTTTGAAGAATATAGAAATAAAGTTCATTATTTATTTTGGATTGGAAAGTTTTTCCTCTGAACGGCGAAATGGTGACTAAAAGCTTTTCCGGGGCACTGCAGTTGACAGATTTAGACGATTTTATTGGGCCATCACAGGTACATCAGATAAGAAAAAAGAATAACAGTTGTTATTTATCGCTTTTTTTCAATCTCTTGTCAGCTATGCATTATTCCAGTTCAAAAGAAACTTGGCGATGAAAATGATGGAATGATCAAATTACAATCAAACAAGGTAAAAGTAAATTTTTCTATAGCGTTTTTAAAAATCATTGTTATCTTGTCTTTCAGAAACGGCTCAATGAGAAGGAAGAACCTCGCATTCAAGCGAAAATAACATTGAATGATTGTCTAGCATGTAGTGGATGTATAACATCAGCCGAAAGTATCCTTATTGATCAACAAGATTATCACGAAGCACAGAATATTTTAAAATTAAATCAAACATTAAAAGATAATGTAAGAAGAGTTGTCCAACTGTTTCTCAATGGATACATATTTTCATCTATTCTCTCTTTAGAATTCAACACCCACTGATATTAAAACGATTATTTGTTCGATATCACCACAAAGTTTATCATCAATTGCTGTCAAATATAATTTAGAGCCAACTGTTTGTGTAAGAAGAATAACCAATTTTCTAAAAAAAATGTAAACTACCTCTTTTTTTGTGAGGATTTCCCTTTTTTTTCTATTATCTATGTTTCAGTTTAGGAGTGAACTATGTGTTTGATGTCACCTACGCAAGAAATTTTTCATTAATCGAAATTAAGAATGAATTTATCAAACGTTATCGAAATAATAAACAGTATCTACCACTTTTAACATCAGAATGTCCAGGTATGTCCATTTTGAGATTATACTATGTGAAATTTGTTTATTTATTATTGTTTGTTTTAGGTTGGATATGTTATGCTGAGAAGACACAAGGCTCTTATATTCTACCGTACATTAGTAAAGTTAAATCCCCACAACAAGTTCTTGGTTCATTTGTTAAAGATTATTTTATGAAAACGAACAGTTCGATATCAGAACATAGTTTGTATCATTTCACAATTCAACCGTGTTATGATAAAAAATTAGAAGCATCAAGACAAGATTTTTACGATGAAAACTTAAACATTCGTGATGTTGACTGTGTGGTATCAACCGGTAATTGAATTAATCTCTCTTTACATTTGGTTATGTATATTCTTTTCTATAGGTGAATTTTATCAATGGTTAGAAGAAGAAAAATTTGATCCTGAGAATGCAAGTGAAATGGAATATGATGAACCGTACGTTGAAATTTAAATCAAAATCGAATGCAAATTCTACCTCAATTTATAGATTTTGTATGAAAAGTGAAAATGGTCTTTATTTGAATCATCGTGGGAGTGGTTCTGGAGGATATTTAGAATATGTTTATCGTTGTGCAGCAAAAGAACTATTCAATGTCGATATTGAAGATAAAATTCAATTGAAAATGATCAGGTATACACTTCAGTGATCAATGACCAAAGCGTATGATAGATCTCGATTCTGTTTTTTTTTTATTTAGAAATCAAGATTTTCGTGAAACAGTGCTAAAAGTTGATGGAGAAGATAAACTTCGTTTTGCTCATGCATATGGTTTTCGAAATATTCAAAATATTGTTCAAAAACTCAAACGTGGAAAATGTGAATATGATTTTGTGGAGATAATGGCATGTCCATCAGGTTGGTAATATGGAAAGTGCGATCGATCTATTATAATATGTTTTTGATAATGTTATTTTCAGGTTGTTTGAATGGTGGTGGTCAAATTCGTGCATCAACAACTGATGATCAAGTAAAATTACTTGAAAAAGTAACAAACGCCTATGAATCATTGCCAATATGTCAACCAGAAAACGTAATCAAAGTGAAAGACACATATGATATTTGGAGTGAGCTGAATGACAAAGATAATGACGTTTTGTTTACAAACTATCATGCTATTGAAAAAAATAAAAATACGTTTAGTTTGAAATGGTAGTTGTAATGATGAATGTGTTTTGTCATGTACCCAATTATTTTTTCATTATACAACGATTTCTGATCGAAAACCACGTGGCGCAGAAAAAGACGGTAAATATTATAGAGAGTATGGTAATCCAAATTATAATGGCACGAAAGGACTAATATCCCGTTCAAAAAAACGTGAATTAAATCAAGCATCAAATAAATCAAAACAACAACGAGAACAGTTGTACCGTGATTTTATCATTGTGAAACCGATAATATCAGAAACAAAGGATGAAATTTCAGATGAAAAATACAATGAGGAAGAAGAAACGGATATTGTCTTGGTCGAAAATGAAAAGCAAGATCATGAAGATGATGAAAATGTAAAATTTACAGTTGTTCTTCCACCAAAACAATCAGCAGAAACAAACAAAAGATGATATTGACAATCATGAGCAAATATCAGTCGTGGAAGAAACTATATCTAAAAGAAAATATTCAACTGATGAAGAAGAGAGTGCTCAATACGAGCATCATCAACTTGAAACCCATGATGAAAATATCGATGATGATACAATGTTTACGGTTACAATTAATTCAGGAACAAATGATTTAAGGTCAAAATTGAATTCATTAAGAAAAAAGGATGATGAAAATAATCAAACAAAACGAATGAAAATAGATGATGATGTTGATACTGTTGAAACAAAAAAATTGTAAGTAGTCGTTAATCACTCTCCAAAGGGTGGAATAATTGACAATTTTTACATTTTGTCTTCTATATTTTTTCTTTTATTTCTAGTGCAAAGCCAACAGATGCTCGTCAAATATTAGAAAAACTACGTATGAAGCCAAAAAGAAAATGATGTATAGGTATAGTTTTTCGCAAATGTCTTTCATGTTCTGTGCCTGTAACAGATAACAATCGATATACATTCTCAAAGTTATTTTCGTTTTTTGTGCGACCTAGTCTATCCTATGTTTTCTTGTAGCAAGAACTTCCTTTTTATGTAAATATATAATCCATTCAACAAAGATCATTTTTACGTTTGTGAAAAATACATCAGTCTAAGTTCAAAATGTATCATTCTTTTTCTCTTTAAATATTTCTTGAATTTGTTTTTCATTGATTTTTTTTTTGTCTCTTATTATCGACTGATCGAAACAAGAATAAATAAAAACAAAAAGAAATTTTGAAAGATCTAGATGAAGAAGACAGTCGGATCTATTTTGCATTGAAACAGCGGATCAAAGATAAGTAACCTAATAAAAATTGACATATATACCGTAGTTAGAAATAAAACTTCTGCCTAATTCGGATGATTTTCTACAGTTGTATAATATTTTTCATTGGGAATACTCCATTAACAAAATCTAACAGAGTATCTAGACATGTCTGCGCGCTCGCATGTAAAAATGTATCGTTATTAAATAAACGACAAGAGTCAAGAGGTCTAGAACGAGACCAAGAGAGAAAATCCGATAGAGAACATAAAAAAGAATGTGATCGAGAACAGCATCAAGATGGAAAACGTGATAGAAGCGATCGCATTCGTAGTTCCAAAGGAGAACGTTCACATAGATCCACAGAAAAAGACGTTGAACATACATTAGAACGAAAATCATCGAAAGAAGATCGTGAACAACCAAGAAAAGATACTGAACGTGATCGACGCGAAACCAAATGAGAAATGAGTAGAGTAAGTAAAATTTATTATGTATCACCCACATTTGCTCACAAAAACTTCACATAAGGGTTTCGATTAGTCTAAAGGATAAAACTGGAACATGACTAGATGAATTCTAACTTCTCGGTTTCGTTTTACAGATGAGAAACGGTGTGAACTTCTCTGATTCCAGTAGATATTTCAGTCATCTCTTTGAATATTTTCTCTCTTGTATAAGAAAAAAGGGAAAAGGACACAATGTAATATAAACCTAAAAGTTTTTCTGGACACCCACTGAAGATCCGAAGGGAGGCTGCAAGTATTTCTGATAAATTCGGCATGATAGACTATCTGTATTCTGTAAGTTTTATTATCCATCGATCACTTTTTTTGTGCTATCAAAATGGACTGATTTCTGCGGACATCTATCTCCCAACTACAGAAATGTTTGCTTAGTTTTCTTTCTCTCTGCATCAGTAATTATTTTTGCAGTCATCTCTTTGAATATTTTCTCCCTTGTGTAAAAATAACTTTCTACTTCTGTCTCTTGATTCGCTTATCCATAGAATATCTGACAGCCATTTTTCCGTTCCACAAACAGACACACACACAGACAAAGACCATACCAATGTGGTGTTGTTTGTTTTATATTTTAGAATTTTTTTGCACGATAAATTGATGGGCACTGGAATATTGCCTTTTGGACCCTCTCCTCTTCATCAAACTCTACCATCTTCCACTATAAATCAGAAAATGGCAAATTTTGTTTATCTCATCATACATCATCCTAATCAAGGAAAACATTCTCATATGTCAGTCTTATTAGACTTGGCAGGCACGTCAACTGAAGATGTTTTATCAGGATTATTATTGCATGCTGTGGTCATTCAACCTGTAACTAGTGTACCGGCATCAACAAAATATGATCATGCTATGGTGGAGTTTGACAGAAGTGAAGTTGTTTTTCATGTTATTGGGAAATTAGAATCATGTGATTATCTTCTCAATACTCATTCAATTTCAACAGATTTGGAAAATATACTTGTATCTGAACTAGTTCCAAATGAATTAAAAAGTGCAATGGTGAGTCTCGATCAAGACACAATCTTTCTTGCACTGTTTTACTTTTATTAACCTTTTAGGTAAAAGAGTTTTATACAAAACTTTGTACAAGTCGTTTACCTCCATGTACACGTGGGAATACATATTTAATACCCTTGGTGAGTATTTGTTTATTTCTCTAATAATTCTTCGCTGAATGAACAACGTTTTTTTCGGCTTTTTTTATTTTAGGGGCAATGTGTCTTCAACGAATTGGTTGAGCGTAATTTTGGATCCTACTATTGGAGTAGTAAAGTGAACTGTCATCAGTATTGTCGGCTATTAATCGAATTTGGACTGGGGTTGCAGTGGCCAAGCCATGTTGCTGTGGGAGGAGATTTAATTCCAGAAATCCTCAATGTTGTCATGTTTTACAAAGCCTGTGTGTTAAAGTGGCAAGAAAAAAATCGAATCGGCAATAAGAGTGGAGAATAGATGACTTCTATCATTGTTTATGTAAAATTGGATTTTTTTTGAAGAAAACAAAGGAATGATATTTGACTTTTACGAATTGAAATTTGTTTACGACTCTACTGCTTGGATGTGGATCTGACTTAGTACAAACATACACAACATTACGAATTATCCGACACACAACGACGAAGCAATATATACAGTGTGTAAGAAACGCATTATTGAAAAACTTACTTTACTTTTTGTTTGTTCTTAAAAGAACTTCCTCTTAAAGTATTGCGTTTCATATCATATCGATTAACCATTAAAACAGCCATGATCGATTTTGATGACCAAATAGCAGATATGAAAAATCGAATTGTATTAAGGCAAAAATACCGTTTTCAAAAATTTAATTTTAACGGATGGTCCAGATTAAATTGCCGACCTTTGCAAGGCTTTTTTTCTCATGTTACGCTTGATCAGAAAATTTCGCTTGGATGCTAAAGGATAGAGAATTTTGCGTGAATTTTAGTCATATTGCGTTGATGCAAATTAACGCCCGTTTTTATTAGTGCCCTCCGAATCCTTCTAATTTAGCATTTTTTCTCAATCCTCCTAAGCTCAATCGATGGAGAATTGAATTCTCTACAAAACCTGCTATTTGAATCTTGACAACATTTTTCTCGTTTGAGTACCATTCAAAATACTGAATGGTGCTGAGCTGTCGAACTGCGATGTGCTTTTATTGTCTCCTTTCTTAAGATGTTTAGCCCATTGTCTGGGGTTCAATAGTTAATTTTTCTACGTGGAAAGATAGAGAATTTTGTGCTCTATCGATCTCACTCATTTACAACTTCATATAATGTTTCTGCTACGTCAACTGGACTCATATTTAGTTTTCAATCGGCTCTTCAATCTTTTCAAAATATATTAATTTTTTTAATTAATGATTTCGATTGAGAAACTTTGTTTATATATCAAAAGATGCAGAATTTAATTCTGTGTAAAATAATAAGACTAAAACCCCGGATTCAGAACGTTTTACTGCTTCTATAGTAAAAAAACTAAAGTCTGTGAAAAATAGGTTCAAAAGTTAGGCTTGTTTGGATTTGTCAGATTTTTACATAGAAAAATTTTCCTAGAAGACTTAACTATAAAATTTCGAGAAATATGTAAGAAGATGCAGAATTTTCCGTGAATCTTCTGAAGTTTTCAAAATTCTTATGGAATCTGTTTTTCGATCAAGGCAAATATTTTTCTATTTTCAGTCTGTCGCAGTTAGGCAACTCAGCACTCTTCAATATTTTGAATGGTGTTCAAACAAGAAAAATGCTATCAGAGATTCAAATAGCAGGTTTTGTAGAGAATTCAATTCTCCATCGATTGAGCATAGGAGGATTGAGAAAAAATGCTAAATTAGAAGGATTCGGAGGGCACTAATAAAAACGGTCGTTAATTTTGCATCAACGCAATATATTTCTTTTGAAATAAATATTTCCTGTCTTTCTGCAGCATTAGGAATGCTGGAAGCCATAAAAGGCAGACTTGCTCAGCACTTTGTATACAATAAAGTGTAATTTTTAGTATTCAAACTGGTTTTGTTGCGCGATTCAAACAAGACATTAAAAATATTTTTTCAATGTTTTGAATATTCGAAAGCAGGAACAAATAAATCTATAGGAACAAACACACCTTCAGATACACCGAGAGTTTCTGCATCTTTTATTGCTAGAACCAAATTTTGACACTTGTCTAACTGAACAAAAATTTGTTTTCAAAACTTTCTAATTCCTTACGAGGAAACCTATCCAAGTGATACCTTCGTTCGTTCATACATCGATCGATAGAGGGTATCGAGCTAGTAAAAATTCTAAAAGGATTTGGGCCCATGACTCTTGAAGATCTGGTTTTCTGGAATAACAGTTTCTCAGAAACTCTAAAAGATAACCAAAACCTTTTCTTAATAAGACATGATTGTAGCCCGTACATTTCTGATTAAAATGAGACATCGCCCAGCTCTACATGATCCTTCTTTGCAAAGTTATAGAATTTACAAGAAAAGCCCTAAATTAATTTTTTGCTTCTTATTTCTGTAGCTTTGAGCTGACAATGAACATTTAGGGCTTTTCTTGTAAATTCTATAACTTTGCAAAGAAGGTCATGTAGAGCTGGGAGAGGTCTCATTTTAATCAGAAATTTGCGAGATACAATCGTGCCTTATTAAGAAAAGGTTTTGGTTATTTTGTAGAGTTTCTCAGAAACTGGTTTTCCAGAAAACCAGGCCTTCAATGGCCATGAGCCCGAATCCTTTTAGGTTTTTTACTAGCTCGATGCCCTCTATCGATCGATGTATGAACGAACGAAATCGGAAGGTATCACTTGGATAGGTTTCCTCGTTAGTTGAGCAACCCTGTTTTTTTATGGCTTTCAGCATTTCTAATGCTATAGAAACACGGCAAATATTTATTTCAAAAGGAATATATGACTAAAATCTACGCAAAATTCTCTATCCCGGACCACCCGTTAAAATTTAATTTAATTTAAAAATCGAGTCTTAAAAATATCCCTTCCTGAGCCAGTATAGAATTTTTAGACTGAACAATTTTTGTTTCCACAGTTTTCTTCTATAATCTTACCTGAAGCGAAACTCTGTTCAAGATCCTTGACGATTTTGCGCTCTAGGACTCTGAAAAATCGGTCTGAAAATCTTTATTTTTTTCGATTTTTGACACTTCTATTCGATCCAGTATGTGAAAGTGTCTATGTTCTATGAGTTGACGATTTTCTGAACACTATTCTCGGGCTCAGAAAAGAGAAAGTAGCGTAAAAATTTGAGCGCCTTTTCTCCGTAGTGCAGCGTCTCAGTATTTTCAATTTTAAAGATTGACCTTAAGAAATTTAGCGACAGCAAAGTATTATATCATACAAACAAAACATGATAAACAACATCTACACTCACATTTCCGCTCCAAAACGCGTCCCCGCAGAGACACTGTAGGCAAGGTCTCGGCCCCCAAAACACATTCTCAAGGTCTAATCCGAATTTCTCCGCCAAACCTTGTTCGAGAACGATGACAATCTTTTCACATATACATCTCGATGCGCTCTATCGATTGGTTACAGAACCGAGATTTCAAACTGAAAAGTAAAAGCTTTATTTAAATTTTAAAAATAGACAAAGCAGGCCAAAAAAATTAAGAATTGTTTTTCTAGAAAAAGTACAAGTCCGCAAACCTCCAAATTCTTTTCA